TTCACTGTACCTCCAATTCAAAACAAATTGTATGTCGATTTAACTGAAATGTTTGATTCAACGACCTGGATATTATTGCTTATATCAATTGTGATTTTATTTGCAATAATAAATGTTATGATACTTAAAAATACTACTAATTTTAGTTTTAATATTTTATGGCATTTAATTACAACTCTGTTTAAACAACCATTTGGTATAAAATCATTTAAAATGCTTTCGATAAGATTGTTGATGGTGATTTGGCTATTGGTTTGTTTTATTTTAATATCATTTTATTCAAACATTATTTATTCAGTTATTACTCGTTCACCTGATGTTAAAATAAGATCAGTCAGTGAGTTAATAAGTGTTTGTGAAAAATACCATGTTCAAATATTAATGTACGATGGAATGCTATATAAATGGTTAATTAAGGTAAAAACTTTATTTAATCTACTAACATTTGAACATAAGCATTTAATAAAAATTTTAATAATATACTTAAATATAATAGAATGGTAGAGAACAAAACCATAGTATGCATAATCTGGTTCAATTTATTAAAATTGAAAATCCTACAGATATATATCTGTTACTAAAAGTTGACCCTGCTAAATATTCGTTAATAGCACACCGGAAAGACATACTTTTTGGTAATAAACACTACAACATATACAACATAACCACTAATTATGTGTCACCGGCTAGTGATCAGACATCCATTGCATTGATTATCAGTGCAATAGTTTTGCGCAAAAAGTCTCGATTCAAACAACAATTAAATCAAATGTAAATAAATTAATGAATTATATTAAGATATTTATAAATTATAATAATGTGAATTTTTATTTATCTTGTTAGCCTTTCCAATTTAATCACTAATGGTTTGGTGAATTTATGGTTCCAACAAATTATGCCTGATAACTATAAGGAATTACATGAAGGGGAATGGGATTCATTTGGATTAAATAAATTTAATGAAATGTTCAGTTTGTATTTAATTGGAAACACATTTGCTATTATAATAATTATACTTGAATTGCTTATAAATGTAATTGGAAAAATTATCGTAATATTTATTTTGAAATGTTATCTATTATGAAATAAAAAATGTATACAGTATTACATACTATGTAATACATAGTCATGTCACAATAGTCAATTACAATTGCTTTATTTTATATAGTTTATAATATTGAATAAATGATTTTTTATTAATTAATTATTAATTAAGATCAAACCAATATGTACCTAAAATGTTTTCCTTTCATTTGGGTTTTAAGTAAAAATAAATCAATTCAAACAATTATAGTACTCATAAACTGCATTCAAGGTCTCAAAGTTTTTGGTTAACGATTTCTAGATAATTATTGATGGCTACACATTTCACAGAACATACACATACTGCTAAAACTGTACCCATTTTACTTAATTATTAATTACTTTTAATTATTTGTTCGCGTATTATGTTAAGTAGGTTTTCAAATTGAAAATTTCAATGAAATTACTTAGATTTCTATTAATATTTTTGTTTCTTATAATGTTTACATAAAAGTTGTTTTAAAAGCAAATGATTTATTATTTAATTTAGTGATAAATATTTACTTTTTGTATTTAATTTCAATGAAATTGTATAAAAGACAATAATTTTTATAATGAAATGACATTTAAATAAAAATACTATGTAAATTGTTGTTAATGAATCTAACCTACATAAAACTTTAGTTTATAATAAATGTTTATTGATTTCTTAATAAAATAATTCAATTCTGAAATTATTGTAAAGTGAAAAGTTGTTTTATTTTAGTAGAAATAGTTAAATACATTATACAATTAGAGATTATGAAAATGTTTAATTATAGTCTAATCACATTTATACTAATAATTAAGATGATTATTAGTAATGCTAACAATTTAATTATTGCCACAACAAATGTAAGTAATAATTAAGTTAATTATAGTAATTTACAAAATTATTTGTCCGATAGTCACCCCCATATGTATATTTGGCAAATACCAGTGGAGTTAATAGTAAACCTCAATTAGTAAAGGGATTGGATCTCAATATAATTGGAGTATTTGAGCAAAAATTGAATTTTACGTATCATATCGTTGACTGTATGAACGATTGGGGAACACAAGTGTCTCATAATAATTGGACCGGAATTGTAGGCCTTTTATCCAAAAATGTATATCTAATATACATCATAAACTATTGTAAAACAATATTTTGTCAAATAATCTTTTTTTCAGCAAGCTGATATAGGTATTGGGAGTATAACATTAACAGCTAAACGTTTTGAAGTAATAGATTACTTATATCCATATGATATCGATTACTGTACTTTCACTGTACCTCCAATTAAAAACAAATTATATGTCGATTTAACTGAAATGTTTGATTCAACGACCTGGATATTATTGCTTATATCAATTGTGATTTTATTTGCAATAATAAATGCTATGATACTTATAAGTACTAATAATTTTAATTTTAATATTTTATGGCATTTAATTACAATTCTGTTTAAACAACCATTTGGTATAAAATCATTTAAAATATTTTCGATAAGATTGTTGATGGTGATTTGGCTATTGGTTTGTTTTATTTTAATATCCCTTTATTCAAACATTATTTATTCAGTTATTACTCGTTCAACTTATGTTAAAATAAGATCAGTCAGTGAGTTAATTAATGTTTGTGAAAAATACCATGTTCAAATATTAATGCACGATGGAATGCTATATAAATGGTTAATTAAGGCAATTATAAAATTTTATTTAATTTACTAAAATATCAACATAAACATTTAATAAAAATTTTAATAATATACTTAAATATAATAGATTTCTAGAAAACAAAACCATAGTATGCATAATCTGGTTCAATTTATTAAAACTGAAGATCGTACAGATATATATCTGTCACTAAAAGTTGACCCTGCTAAATATTCGTCAATGGCATACCGGAAGAACATACATTTTGGTAATAAACACTACAATATAACCACTAATTATGTGCCACCGGCTAGTGATCAGACATCCATTGCATTGATTATCAAAGCAATAGTTTTGCGCAAAAAGTTTCGATTCAAACAGCAATTTAATACAATGTAAATAAATTAATGAATTATATTGAGATATAAATCATAATAATGTGAAATTTTATTTATCTTGTTAGCCTTTCCAATTTAATGACTAATGGTTTAGTGAATTTATGGTTCCAACAAATTATGCCTGATAATTATAAGGAATTACATGAAGGGGAATGGGATTCATTTGGATTAAATAAATTTAATGAAATGTTCAGTTTGTATTTAATTGGAAACACATTTGCTATTATAATAATTATACTTGAATTGCTTATAAATGTAATTGGAAAAATTATCGTAATATTTATTTTGAAAAGTTATCTATTATGAAATAAAAAATGTATACGGCATTATATAGTCATGGTATAGTAAGCAATTGCTTTGTTTTATATAGTTTATAATATTCAGTAAATGATTATTTATTTATTTATTATTAATTAAGATCAAACCAATATACACCTAAAATGTATTCCAATATAATAATACAAGTATATAATTTATTATTTTTCATTTAGTTTTCAAATAAAAATAAATAAATTCAAACAATTATAGTATTCATAAACTGCCTTCAAGGTCTCAAAGTTTTTGGCTAACAATTTCTAAACAAATACTGATTACACTATTAGATCTAATCGTAAGTTATAGACAACCGGTTTAAAAACAATTTTCTAGATAATTATTTTTGGGTACACTTTTCAAAGAACATACACATACTGCTAAAACTGTACCCATTTTACTTAAAGCTAGTTAAATTAATAAGTTTTAGTGCTGTTAGGAGCATGTATCCAATAAGTTAGTACTCATTAGTGCAAATTGATTATATGTTATGACATCTAATACAATGCTACATAAATATTAAATGGCTGCAATTGATTGGTACATAATAAGGCTCAGGGATAATAAGAGTAGATTATCAATATAACCCTTTTCAAACGTATTGAATTTGATAGTAAAACAAAAAACTACAAAATTTATAAAGAATAACTACTGAGCCATGCAAAATAATTTAAAATCTAATTATAATAAGTTCAAAAAGAGTTAGTTCACTGCCTCCCCCGGGAGTTACAAAACATCCCATGGTCATACCAGAACTTGATTATTAAGTTGTATAAAAGCCATGAAATTAAGTGATTAAGTTGTATATCGAAATTATAAGCAATTCTATTAAAATATTTTATTAAATATAAGTTTAGTACAAGTAATGGATGTTTTGGGGCCCTTATCGTGGAGCTCGTGGATAGCGCTGTCAATTGTGTCGGCTCTGCCATTCATTTATATGTAAATATTAATAGTAATTTTTATATTTTATATGTTATTATAAATTATTGTTTTTTTAAATAGATTTTTAACCAAAACCTTCAACTACTGGAAAAAACTAGGTGTGAGTGGTCCGACGCCATACCCAATAGTGGGCACAAATCTTTACAGAGTCCTTAAACCAGGTCCTAACGTGGAATTGGATTGGTTCGCAAAATATGGAAAATTATACGGGTACTTTTACTATATGATTAAAAATTAATATTTCTCACTGTTATATTTAAAATCTATATATATATTCAGGGTTTTTAATAAGACTGCGCCCATAATAACTATCGGCGAACCGGAACTCATCAAAAATGTTTTGGTCAAAGATTTTCATCTGTTTTCCGACCGCAAAGATAGACCGGTTGACCATAAGATACTAAATCAACATCTGTTTGCCTCCCGGGGCGACGACTGGAAACGCTTGCGATCTATACTCAGCCCTACCTTTACGTCGGGAAAGATGAAGAAAATGTATCCAATGATTAGGGAGTGTTTGACTGATTTCTTGGATCACTTGGAAGTGTACGCCAAGGATGGCAAGGATGTCAACATCAAGGATATGATGGGGAACTTCACGATGGATGTGATCGCCACGTGTGCCTTCGCCACCAAAACTAATTCACATAAAGACCCCAACAATCCGTTTGTAGGAAACGCTAAGAAAATATTTGATTTCCCGATTTCAAGACTCCTCCCAATAATGCTTTTGCCAAAGAAGTTGTCCACTCTTTTGGGTCTTTCAGTTCAAGACGAGAGACTCAATGAGTTCTTCTTCGATGTGACGAAACAGCGAATCAATGAAAGAAAATCCGTTAAAAATAGTAAGAAATACAATGATTTCATTCAACTTCTTGTGGACGCAAACAATAATACAAAT